CTTCTTCTACTGCTACACCACCACCACCACGACGACTACGGCTGCTGCTGCTGCTGCTACTGCTACTGCTACTGCTACTGCTACTCCTACTACTACTACTACTGCTACTACTACTACTACTACTACTACTATTACTGCCACTATTGGCGCAAACAGTGGTGACAGTGGCAGCACCAGCAGAAGTAGTACTAAAGTTGCTGGTACTATAACCCTCGTACACACAAGTACCAGCACTAGTAGCAGCATAAGAAGTAGCCATCGTAGAAGCAAACATGGCGAGGCGATGGCAGTCGAGCAAGACCTGCGGCTCAGAAGCTCGTACTTCACCTCCAACTCGCCGAAGAAGCCATAGAAGTGGTTTGCCATCTCGGCCTTGGGGGAAAGAGCGTCGAACAAACCCTCGACTACCCTCCCGGTTCATCGTTCTAGCGAGTTCGCATGCATCCCGAAGGGCTGAAATGCTAGATGCCACCAGTAACTGTGGCAAAGTCCCAGCCTCGTGGTTTCCGCGGTTCATGTAGACGCCGTTTGGTTGCCAGACCTTTCGAAAGTGCATCTGAGCAAGGGCGAGACATTAGGTTGAAGCTGGAGACGGCCATGATGTTGACATTAAGACGGGATGTGCGGATAAATGCATGTCAGACCCTCCTTAAATGCCTCAATAGTGCTTCTGCCGCTAATGCACAGGTTGCTCTGGGTATCGATGGTGCTTTGGCGCGTAGCTGCTCTCGTCAGGCATGCTGTTTAGCCATGACGGCCTGCAATAAACCCTGAAACCCATGAACCGCCCAAACGGCGCTCCTGAATCCTAACATCTAAAATCCCCTCCACCCTGGACATGCTTGGGGCTCAGGGGTCCACGGCAATTGGTCTGCTCCAATCCAGCACTTTCAGAACTTCAAGCCTCATAAATGATATAAGTCTATATGAGTATATATATATATACACACACATGCACATGTATGTGTGTGTGTACTTATTCGTGTACATTTACTGTTTGATTCTAGCCCAGAGCCCTAAAGCCCTGGCGGGTAAACAAACCCAAAAAACAGCCTTGAAAGCGAGGATGGTGAAAATCACCTCGACACTCCAAGGGCCACGATCCACAAAGTCGCCGTTGAAAAGGAACCTTAGTCATGTTGCTACCCATGGTTCTCCACATGGTTTTCCACGGTGTGTACGGCTTTCAGGGGTCTCGGGTTTACGGTTTTGGGGGTTTCGAGTCTGCTGCTCTATGCGTTCGTATAGGCAATGTTTGGAAGATGGAGCATGTTCATATGCCATGGCAGCGGTCGCAGAGTTTTCAGGTCATCAAACTATAAATTATTATGCGAAGGTGGGGGATAACCGTCGGAACATCGAAGATGACTATGACAGACTGCTGAAGACTGCGCCTCAGGAATGACAACAAAACATTGGTCCTTGCGTGAGGGTGTGCCAGTACGTCATAGGCCGTATTTAGATAGCAGCGAAGCATAGCGAAGCCTTAAACAGGGCAACAGGGTAGGATAAGATACTGCAGATGCTCGAAAGAACATGGTATGAGGGTGATAGCTTGGGTGCATTCCTACGCGGTTGCCCCAACATCCAGTCGCATATGGGTAACACGAATGGTGCTGAAGAGAGGGGAAGGCTTCCTGTCCGTCTCGGGGTCCTCCGGTATCTTGAGAATTGGGTCCTCTTGGGCTTTCTTGTGGAAGAGGGAGCCTTGCCGGTGAGGACGAAGCCGATGTTGAGATGGGCTCCGGCCAGCACGTGGCTTGTGCGGGGGGCTTTCGTTGCGCACAAGCAGCTGTTTCGGCGTTCGCGCTTGGTCAAATCCGTCCAGACTACGAGCCGAGACAAAGGTGTGTCCTTTAGGCAGTGCGGCTTCATGAGGCCATTTCATTCTGTCGAGACACACCTGCGAAAGTGAGAGATGTAGCCTTGGAGTTTGAAACCTCGATCACCGGCGTCTCAAAAGGTCCATCACATCTACTGGGCCCCTGTTAAGCGTGGAGAGAAAGAATGGATCCTTTTGATGGACTCCCCTTTGAAATCATTAAAAATAGAAACCCAAACCATCCCAAAGCACAAAAAACAACAAGAAGGATCTCCAAGATTGGCCGCCGCCCCTCCCCGCCCCCGCCCCCCCATCCCGCCCCCAAACTTGCATCACGTTCGCTTTGCTTCTGTCCAAGCCTACCAGCCGGCCTAGCAGTCCCCAAGTCTCACCCCGGGACCACAACAATAAGACGGCAACCCTATGATCAGATCGGACAAAAAACTCTAAAGTAGGCGTTTGGGGGGGTATGTCATAGCACAGCAACAGGCACCCACACGGGAAAAAACACTAGTGCTCATTGTTCAGGCCCATCTAGTATATACTCAACTTGGCTCCACGGTGCTGGTTGTCTGGCGATGGGAATCCTGCCAGGCTCAGCATGTGATCGAAGTCGAACCTGAGCCAAGCTAGGGTTTACGCCCTCACAACTCAGGCGAGGTCTCAAGGTGCCAATCTTCGTGAAACTAACACCAAACTAGGGTTTAGGGTTTAGGGTACTGGGTTGAGGCTTGGCTTTTGAGGTTGTCAAACGGCATCCTTTCCGACTGCCATGCTCACAAAGGGTGCAGTGTTTCGGTCATTTCCTGCACTTACCGCAGACATCTGCATCTGCTTGCCCTCTTCTATGAAACGGAGAGCGGGAGGTCGGCATGTCCCGTCTCAGCCGCGAGTAACTTACAATTATAAGGTCTGGTTCAAGGTAGCTGGACAGCGCCGTTTGACTTATTATATTACTCTATACATATACATATATATATATACATACATATATATATATATGTGTGTGTGTGATATGTGTGTGTGTGCATAGATACATATATATATATATAGTGCATGTAATACCATTAATATAACCATTTAAACCAAATCGGCGGGACCTTGGGGCAACCAGAAAAAAACCCTGTACCTTTAGAGCCCAATTTTAAAGCTCTGGAACAAAGCGAGCGAACAACCTGAGACTTCAGCTGGGTTCCTTGCTTCGCTATGATAAGGGGTGCGATATCTGTTGTCGTAGGGGCTTCCATGACGGTGTCTACAAGGGCCTCTATGGTATCACGACGGTCTCGAGAGGCGCTTCTTTATCATACGGCTTACTGTAGGGGTTTCTATAAAACTATAGAGGAGTGTGCTTAGGATCTCAATAGGGAAACACAGCAGAACGCGAACGGCGAGATGCAACTGGCCATGGAGGTCGCCAACTACGGTGACCTGCATGGAGGCTTTGCTTTCCCTTTGAGGTGGGGGGGGGGGGTGGGGGTCACGGCTTGCTTCTGCTTTTTAGTTTGGTGCTTTTAGGTTTTGGAGCTTGGCTTGTATGAGATTGAATAGAGCCAATACCATTTCGCCCCGCCTTCTTCCCCACCGGCACCGACACTCGTCCCAGGGTCTTCTCCTTCACGAGGATGTCGTAAGCGTCCTTACGCGCATGCAGTGGCGGAAGCTGGTGTTCGACTTGAGGAGTGCGAGATGAGGCTGTGGCTATGTGTACTTCGGGGAACTAGATTAAGAAGTAAAGCCTGCTTGCTTTGGCCCGTATGCTGACGCTCCGACAAGAAAGTCGACGCACACAAAAGCTGCTGCCACTGATGCTTACGCTACCACAACGACGAGTACCACTACAACCACGATAGTCGAGACTTGCATTCCCAGATACTGCGAATGACGATGATGCTGGTGGTGGCTGTCCATCCACACTCGCACTTGTAGCAACAACAACTGTTAACGAAATTGCAGCAGGAATGGCCGTTATGCTCTGTTGAAATGTTAAGAATGCATTTCCATATCAACTACGGCCTGTGGAATTCAATCGTCGGAAAAATCCTAAACACTGCCTGTAAGCCGGTATTGCTTCGACATACAAAGCCGTAATAAGGAACCCTAGAAAAGGTAGGGCTTTGCGGCTGGAGGTGCATCAGAAACCGCGAACTATCGAAGTTCGAAACATTTACCTCGTGGACCATGAGGATGGCAAAGAGTCGATAGCCAACTGGTACGCATCCTTCATCGGCAGAATCTGTCCGGTCCTTGACATTGCGTTTCGGCGCTCACACTCGTAGCAGGCAAGGTGCCAAACACCACGGCATTGTTCTTCGAGTTTTCGGCTTCAGGTTTGGGGCCTGTAACACTGTAGGGTTTAGGACCGGGAGCGTTTAGGACGTTGCAGTCTTTCGGCTTCTCCTGCTCCAGCTCCACGTGCAAGTGCTGTGAAGCGGAGAGGCAACCGGAGACAGGACTGTCTCGATGCAGCCTGGTATCTTGAACTGAGCGAGCATCTGGCGGATGCTGGCTTCATTCAGCGACGCCTTGCCTGGCAGGCGCACAAAGCCACAATGCCGGCCCAACCCCTCAGAGGCAGGCCTTGGTAGCGAGGTCCAGCGTGGCCAACGGGATCCGGCATGGCAGCGACTGCACTTCGCCTTAGCACAGAACCACGGTTGTAGTTATTGATTGCCTGCACATGTAACAGAGTACGAGACCATCTGGTGGCTGTATTCTCTGGCATTGACGTGACATGGGCCATGCGGCCGACGCCTTACAAACCACCCTACAAGTAGCAGAGAACTTCCAAAAAATCTAGTATAAGCTTCGAACGAAAGCTGTGTCATTCCAGGGTCCGCAAATCTCGCTTTTTGCCAGGCTGCAAGCCTTCCACGGCAGTGCTTGTGTACGAAGGAGGTGCTGGAGGGATCTTGTACTCCTGCAAGGTTGCTTCGGAAGCTTGAGGGCGATGTAACCCAGCGGTAACCCGACCATAGAATGCCATAGAATCATAGAACAGTGCCGTGGGAAGCCGGCTGGCATGGCCAAACTTCCCTCCAAGAGTAGGGGCGAACTGACGGCTCAGCCAAGGGTGGTCTCTTCGTCCAGTCACTCGGGGCCCCTCCCTCACAACATCGCATGTGCCAGAACAGGGGGCTAGAAGAGGCTGCAAACGCAAGGAGGCAAGGACTCTCGAAAAGCTATGCCAATAGTACTATACTTTAATATACTATACTATACTGTACTATACTATACTTTACTATACTTTTACTAAACTAGTACGGCCAAGCTCATATAACCCACATCCTCTGGCTCAGGATGCCGCTTCCCCGTTCTCCCGCGGTCCTTGATCGTGGCATCCTTTGGCAGATCCTTGAATCGCTCGTCCCGGGTGTCGACGAACTGCTCCTTTTGGGGTTCATAGGGTCTGGAGCCATTTATAGTTCCGATCCGAGGAGAAGCAGGAGCTTCGATGAAACGGTACCTCGCAGTTGTTTGGAAGACTACCCCGGAGCAAGTAGACGATAGCTTTCATGTCTATTTAGACTCTAGACAAGCATTTGTGATTGCCTGATGAGTCGCGGGGGTTCTGAGCAATCTTGGCAAAACCCATGGAAACCTGCGCAGACGGCTGAGACCGACGTTGCGAGTCAGTGAAAACTTTACTGTTCATAGCCCTCGTTTCGGAGGAGCGAGAGAGAGAGATCGAAAAAGCCGAGAGAGGGAGGAAAACGAAATGAGGAAGCCTTCAAGGAATCCCTTTAATGAAGCCTTGAAGGAACCCGTCCAGGCTTGTAATGCCGCGGAGATGCTGAGCTGCCAGCGGCCGGAGCCGCAGGTGCGGCTGCTCCCATGGAGCTGAACTCCACGTACCTATTTAGGGTCGAAGGTTTCAGCGCTCGCACGAGTTTGAGGTTTAGGGGCTTAGGGTTTAGTTAGGGGTTAGGGTGAGAGCTACCGTTGTTGTCATTTTTAACTCTGCGGATTAGTGCTCAATTGGCTGCTGGGTGATGCAATTGCTTCTTTCGACCTGCTTAGAAGACAGGGGTTGCATCTTCGCCGACTTCAGGACGTCCGGTTTCTTGCACAGTTGCCACAAAAAGTTGTAGGACCTGTGCACCCGACTTCCGTGAACACCATCCACGTGTCAGCCTCGAAACCCTGAACAGCACGAGTTCATGGATCATGTAGGGGCCTTAATAATTAGAATAGGGTGTTGGGGCCCACTATACCATACTTACTATATGGAACCCCTCAAAATAATTAGTATAGGTATAATTATTAAGGCCCCTATACTACCATGCACGACGCCATGGGACCTCCCGCAATCCCCCAAAAACCAGCCTGAAGTTTCAGCGCAGCAATACTCTAGAGGAGTTTTAAGCCTATGCTTCCAGGGACCTTATTATTGGGTCCTTAAGGGGTCTAGGGCCCTGCCTATAAGGTCCTTGGGAGCACAAGGTAAGTCGTGGTTTATGCCACGTAGGTCCGGGAAGACCGAGAGGCCTGGGTCCGGCTTGGAGTGTCGGAGTCTATAAGGGTTCATAATACTATGGCAGTTGATATAGTTACTAGGTTCATAATACTATATTATAGGGGTTCATAATACTAGGTTCATAATACTATAACAATAACAACTTATAATTACATAGAATATAATATTCGAGAACTATACTTTCTGATTGGGGGTTGTGGGCAGTTGCCGTATCCATTCTCAGCCCAGGAGCTCTACGGCCAGGGGAAGCTCAGCAGGCTTGTTCCCCATGCCACCACTGCCACTGGACTGGAAAATGCCTCCAGGTCTCGAACTGCTAAGTCCGGGGACTATAGCTCGCATCTTCGGAAGAAGCTGACATCCTCTTGTGGCTACGGCGTCGACTGATCTTGAGATACCACGAGCCCGTGGCATCAGTGCTGTTGTTGGGGCTCGGAAGCCGCAAACCGCAAGCCCTCAAGCACCAAGTCTTGATTATGCAAATGAAAGATGCCAGGGACAACGACATCTTAGGCTCTTAGACTAGAGACATCTTTGCAACCTTGTAACTCGGGAGACCATGGGAGACCCTGAGAAGCCTTGCCCGGTCCAAATGAACACCCTCCAGAGCGCCTGCAGAGTTGTCAAGGATCTTGTCATCAAGCAGATCCTCACGTTCAGGGCGTTGCGGCAAGATTTTTGGTTGAATGGAACGGCGACGGACTCAAGTCTTGGGGCTCCCAGCGCTTCGCGTGTGCTATACTGGAGTACCTCGGCATCTCCTTGCCGAATGTATCGACAAGTCGGGCTTATGGTGCTGTGCAGTTCGAGGGTTCGAAACTTAGGATGTTGCGGCCTGCGAGTATCTGCAAAAAAGGGCCTGTGGAAATCGCCCGAGCTTCCACACGATCCAGCAGGCTGCAACACAAAACGCTTCAAGCAGCAGTGTAGGCAACGCTTCCCGGCCGACTTCCCAAGCCCGGATGCAAACGGTCTAGTGTGGGCAACATAGCAAGTGACACAAAAGGGGATACTGCGACACAGGCGGCTTGTCAACGCGACAGAAGACGATGCACGATGAAGCTTGATCGTATGATTCCCTGAAGCAGTGGCCAACGCACCAAAAAACACGCTTGAGCACTTGGGAAAATCCCAGTAATTATGCTCCCGAAGACACCTCAGAGGAAGCCCTACACAACCTAAACTCCAAGCCCCGAAGATTTGACTGGAAGACCGATCTCTCCAAAAACTCGCGGTACATCCCTCCATCTCGGCAGCCAAAGCTTCCAGGATGTCCCAGAAGTCCCATGTGCTGACATCTTGGCCGGCTACGGACTTCACCTGGGAGAATTTAGGAGGAGTTCGCTGTGGTGCGCTTTGCGTGGGGGAAGGGAGTGGTAAACACACCCGAACTTCTTTAAGCCCATGTCGTCTGAACGTAGTGTGCTCAACCCGTAGCTTCTCTTGCACAGCGACCCTGAAGCTCCGAAGCCTCTAAGAATTACGCGCTGTAAGCGAAGCTTGGATGTGAACCCAAACAATCCCTGGAGACGTGAAGGAAAAGACGAGGAAGAGCCTTACGTAGCCTAAAGGCTCTAAGAGTCTCAAGCGTCCCAGGGCAGACAAAAGCCCCCACAGTAGCTTCGAGTTTTGCAGACACTACATAGGGGAACTTACTTTTGTTCAAGCCCCGACCAAAAAAAAACAGCCACCACCGGGTTTTGGGTTTTGGGATTCAGGGTGGAGGGTTTCGGCTCTTGGTTGTGTCATGTTGTATCCCTTGGCTGGAGTCCTTCTGGTAACAAAATCCGGTTCGAAAACAACTGCCTGAATGAGGGAATTGAGCGGGTCAACTTTAGGCATCCCTGAACATCGAAACCCAAGAACACCCTATAACACTTAGGCTCTCTATTCCTTAACTGAGTAGAGCTCGGAACGAAAAACATCAGAGACAAAACATCCTGAACACTCGGTCAGACTTTCCAAGACATTAGCAGACTAACCCTGCACCCATCTTAAACCCTGATACCCAAACAATAGTACCCTCAACCCTTATAGCACACTTCCAGTACCCTCAACCTCTTAGTACCCTCATAAGACCCTTGTAGGCTGCCTTTTAGGTACCCAGTACCCTTATAGAGCCCTCCCCCAAACCCCAAAGCCCTTCACGAAAAAGAGCACCGGATACTACGATCACTAACCAATATAAGTATTACTACGTACAGTGTTGGCTCTAGCCACTATTACGAACATCGCAATATTGTTCTTAATGCTATTGGGTCATATGAATTATAAAGGTTGTAAGTATGTCTAGTTGTTGGTACTGTTACGATAAGTGTTACTGTCATAACTACTACAATACTATCATCAGCATGATCATCGTCATCATCAGCATCATCCTCAGCATTGTGCTTGCTATTATTGTTATTGCTATTTCCCATTATATATTTATATATACACACTGATACTTATGGTTATGGTTAATGACTGCTAGCATTCCTATAAAGAGCATCACTGCCGGGTCACCGCCATGTACTGCTTCACGCCACCCGTCCAGGCCTGACCTTGGGGGTCACCAGGATACCTGCGAGAGGTCAGGGCTTTCCGGTCGCTGAGGGCTTTAAGGGGTTCAGGGTTTAGGGCTTTAAAGGGTTTAGGGTTTTGGGTTCAGGGGCTTTAAAGGGTGTTACAAGGTTTGCTTGGTTTCAGGGTTTAGGGGTTTGGGGTTCAAGTCCAGGGTGTCGAGGCGAGGGAATTCTGGGTTTTGGGTCCAGGGTTCAGGGCGTTGTGCCTGCCGGGTTAGAGCCAAGGTTTTGGGTTAGAGGCAGAACTTGGCACGTAGCGTGCGGAAACAAGAACTAGGGTTTGGCCACGACTGCGCTCACAAGTGACGAGGTCAAGCAGCTGGTTGGTCTAGTTGCATATCCAAGAGAGCCATCAATGTAATCAAGGTCGCATGCAGTTCCTGCCGTCGCATGGGCACAGGCGAGCTGCACGGTCTAACCCAACAACCTGTCTGCACGAAAACCCAACAGAGCTACTATGACTGACTCGACAGACTCTACACTTACATGCATGGGAGGGGGGGCTACCCATGCTAGTATTGTGAGTCTTATTCGTTTTCTGGCGCTTAATCGTTTTCCTATTCTTATTAATAACGTATTCAGGACAAATCTAGGTTTGTATGAAACCAGCACGGAGTAGGCAGGGCACCGGGAGTTCTCGTTCATCTGCCAGACCATGGCCCCCTTTCCATTGGTGCTGGGGGCGTAGGCGAGCACGCCGAAGGGCCTCTTCTTGTACCTCATCTTGAAATCTTATCTTACATAACTGTGCACATGACAGCTTCGTGTCGTGTTCTGTGCTGTAAGCACCGTCCCGAAAGTTACTGGAGTTGGCCCGACATTGCATCGGGCGGGCCTCCTCTCGCACAAGTTACGTCTTTTTGCTCCGTCACTTGCACCCATGCTTTGGCACGCATATGTTTTCGGGGTGCTGACGTTGTGTGTGCTCAGCTTGAAACTGTCCCGAACAGTCTATTGCACGAGTCTACCACACTCAGGCGTCGTTGGGCGCGTCCCACTCATCGGAACCCATCACGGAGGTTGTGGTCGGGGAAAGCATGTAACGCGTGTCCGGGAGTCCACGGATCATTCAATTCATATCTGTTTCATACCTGCTCACACACACCTTCTTGCACAAACACACGCGCACGCACAGACAAAGACCGACATGGATGTGTGTAATACATAAATACATATATTACGTTTACATGTACATATACATATACGTATATACATATACATACATATATATATATATACACATACGCACATACACACATATACACATATATACGTACATACATACATACATACATACATACATACATACATACATACATACATACCTACATGCCTACATACCTAGATACCTAGATACCTACATACACACATGCACGCATACAGACATACGTACATACGTATTCACACACAAAAACACATTGACATATACATACGCGTTCACATATACGTCCACATATAGAAAGACATACACGAAGACGTGCACATACAGATTAATGTACACCAGCAAATGTACATACGAAGGTATGACTTGCAACTCTGCGTATACCGTACACGTGTAGACAGACATGTGTATACATGTCGAACAGAAATATATACACACATATATATATATATGTATATCTGTGTGTGCTTGAAAAAGAAGGACGGAACGAAAGCGAGAAAGAGAGAGAGAGAGAGAGAGAGAGAGCGAGCTAACCACGACTATAAACGCGAAAACATACAAATACAGACAGGAGGGAAAAAAAAAACAAAAACAAACAGAGACGCTAGGGCACACTAGTACACCCCGATGCGCCTTGGGCTTTCTGTCGGTATGTATATAATATGAGCATACTAGGTATAAACAAATTAAATACATTAAGCATACAAATACACGGTTGAGGATCGACTATATGCCTATTTGCCACTACTCGGTCCGAGGAGCTCCACGGTAACCGAACCTGCTACGCTGGAGGCGTCGGCGGCATCGAAGGTCTTTGGCTCCCGAACTTTGTTGCCTGGGACAAATGTTTAAACTTTATGCTCGAGGCTCAGGCTTAGAATCTCGGGTCAAGGAGCCAACAAGCAGCCATAAGACAATGCAAACAAAATCAGAGCGGAAGAATGTGCAGCAAGATACTGCCACGTTCGAACGAATGAATCCTGACGCAAAACTCGAGAAGCGGAAGCAGTGACACGAGCAAAACCAAAATCCAGAGACATCCGAAACCTAAATGCAAGCATGCAAGTAGCCAGAAACTCTATGTGGCAAAGGCAACGAAGCAAAGCCGAGTCAAGATAGTAAAACTCCTCAGCCCAGAGAGGACTGGGGCACGAAGTTCTTCTCATCCATCCCAAATGTTTCGGGTAACAACGAAGTAAGCGTTTCTCTGCTCGTGGTTCTGCTGTGTGGGACATTGGATCTCCATCTACCGGAAGATTGGGAGAAATGCTGCAAAGCCCTTCCTTGGACACCTGACTCAGCACGACTGGGCTCCCGCACCCTCACTGTCTCTCATGGAAGCCGCCAAAGCCACGCGTGGCGCAGTTCGTGTTCGAAGTGATGTAGAAGGCGTGGAGGGAACGAAGCCCAGCGCCTGCGCCATGCATGTCTCTACAAATTTGACATTTGTTTCTGTACGTCTACTTATTTCTCTGACTCTCTTGCTTGCTTGCTGGCTTGATGGACATATGGGGGTATCCGAAAATAGGGGACCCTAATATAGTACCCTAGATAGTAGGATCCTATAAGTCCCAAAAGGGGTTCAAGGCGCGAGGCCTATTCCACCTCAGCTGCCTCCAGTCGCACCGTGTCCCCGAGTGAAAGAGGGACCCGACTGAGCTCCAAAACTCCCTCTCCCTGCCTAACTAAACACTGATATTCCTTAGGGTGCCCTGTTATGAATACAGTACCCTATAAAAAAATATAAACTATATATATATATATATATATGTGCTCGGTATGTATGTATATATACATATATATACCTCTCTCTGTCTATCTATCTCTCTCTTTCTCTTATATCTCTCTCTGACGACATGAAAACATGCATTGCTCTCGTAGTAGCACTACATGCTGCTACAGGGCACTCCTCATGGTAAGGTTCAGGGCTTAAGGGGTTTAGGGTTTCGACTCGCACACTCGCACAAGGCAGGCACAGTGATTGTCACGGTTTGCGTAAAGAACGAATGACGTCCTGAAGTCCAAGGCAAGGTCGCGAAGAAGCACTACAGTAACCCCCCCTCTATGTCTCCCCCACGAAGTACAGCTAGGATTAAACCATGAGGGGTAGTGGGCTCTCTGGCCTCCCCGGTCTAAGAGATGGTCTGAATCTTTTCAGGTGTCAACCCTTAACCCCGGGGTTCTCACACATGTCACCTTGCAACATCAACAACCCCTAACCCTCCAGGTACCTACGATATAGGGCCCTATAGGGGCTCTAGTACCCTATTAGGTACCTGGAGGGTTTAGGGAACAGGAATCGTCCTAGGAAAGTCGGCCTGCGCGGCCAGGCGTCCCACGGTCAAACAGGCAACGAGGGCCACCACCCCGGGAAGCAGTGCCGGAGACCGGCGGGTTGCGGCATTCGTCATGGCCTTGTGGTGCATGTCTCGCAGCTGCCACATGCGACTCTTTGAAATTGCTAGTGCTTACGCGACCCTGCCTCTGCGCATGCCGGAAGCTTTGGAGGGAGAGGGAGAGGGAGAGGGAGCGAGAGAGAGAGTGAGAGAGAGAGAGAGAGAGGGAGAGAGAGATGGAGAGCGAGGGAGGCAACACATCGCAGTAGACACGGTGAAAACAACACGCACAGATAAATCACATGCACGCTTGCAGTCGCACATGGATAAGCACATGTACTTGCATCAATGCGTCTCCCGGTGAGCCGTCTGAACACTGCCCCGTAAGTCAAAACGAACCTTCATGGTGCAGCATCGAAGATGCTTATTGGCTGGTTGTGCGGCTGTGCGATTGGTCATGAAGGACCTGATATTAGTTATTAATCCGGAATCCAAAACCAGGCAACCTGCGGCGAATTTGTTGAACCCAGAGACAGGGACATCCCCAAGGACTCGTAATTAATGCTCAGCTGGAGCTGGGAGCCGTTGAGTAGCAGTTGGTGCGAGGTGGCGGCTGGGGCTCAAAACGAGACAGTTCCAGGCTGGAGTACTAGTGCGAGGTGGTCGTAACCAAAATGGAAAAGTACATGGCGGATTCGTGGCACGATCTGTGCCGGCGCGTGCAAAGCCGTCTGAACTGCAACAGGCTGTTCGGCTAAGAAGCAGGGACCACGATGTCGGCGCAGCACTCTGATGGCACGCGCCTTGAGCAAAATTGTGCCTCGTAAAGCGGCGGAGGCCTTACTGTCAAGATACGAAATAACACTATCTGTGTGTCTGTATGTTCTCCTGCCTGCAAGCAAGAAAAACAACCCCAACGCCAACCCCAAACTTTCCACACGGTTGAAAGCACGAAACAAACTTCCAAGAAGTGCCAGGTACGCACTCTCATACCCTCATCCCATATCAAACACAACACCAGAAGCCCACACGGCTCAAGCTCCCCCTAACCCTACATCCGAAACGACCCCGGTGCCAAAAATAAGTGTCCGTTTCGGACACGCATGATACCAGCGACGTGCTCTTGCAGAATCCCATACCCTAAACCCGAGACCCCTAAATCCCTACATACCCCAAAACCCAAACAGCCCCGTTTTGCGTGCGGACTTGTGCAACCGCCAGAGACTGCCAACCCGCGGAGCGTGTGCAGATCTGAGACACTACACCCTAAACCCTAAACCCAAACCATCTCTGGCCTGTCCACCAGGCTCACCAGGGCTGCCTCTCGATACACAAAACAAAACCTACGAAGCCGTTGCTCGCCTCCTGCCCTGGCGCTGCTTGATGATACTTCTTGCAGGCTGGAGGGGATCGTGGCAAGAGGTGGGAGCTTAGACTCTTAGAAAAGCCTCGACCCTACGGTAGGTTTCCGGGAGTAGTAAACTCCGATCCAGCTCATCGTTGTTGCTGTTTGCCTGGGGGATACCAGCAACAACAAAGGCACCAGGCTCATCAAACAGTAAAGTGCGAGCCGGAACTTTCTCTCCTAGACACTGCCAGAGTACAACAAAAAACACGTTCGACGACAAACCAAAGCAAAACGTTGCTGCATACTCACACGTCTCAATTTCAGTAGCTGAAGACAACTGTGAAACAGGTGCCAGCCTCAGCTGTGAAGACCCTGTCCTAGAAGCCAAATTGCGTATGTGGTAGGTTGCGTTCTCTTTTTAACCCAGGCATAATGTGCTGATGCACTCAAAGCATTTTGGCCCGAAGCCCTTCAAACCCGCCAGGAAGGGTGAGGATCCTTCGATCCGAGCCCCGCGCGGCACAGGAGAGGTGTGCCAGTTCGAAGGGCTGCCATTCACCTGCAGTGAGAGGAAGGTTTTGGGTGTGTGAGTGTGTCTGTGGGTGGGTGGCGTGTAATCCCCGCGCATTCACAAAAAAAACCGATGTTCTCGCCTCGCAATGATAGCGCATCCTGTGCCGCAGGTTCATTCGAGATAAAGTCACCCGGAAAAAAACAAAAAAAACTACCAACGCCGGAAGGAGCCCTAACCCTCCGGGCACAACGGGGGGTTAAAAGTCGTTATACTGCCGAGACAACCTCAAGCATTGCAAGTCAAGGCTTCTTACTCATCAAGTGGGGTTAATGCAGGATCGGCAGAAACCCGACTATGATAACACCATGCTACTAGCAATACAAGAGCTTTGCAGGTACATGACCCGAAAGCCTTGTTCCATGTCTTAAAACCCTGTAAAACCTATATGATCTAAAGCCCTAGAACCCCGCCATCTCTCAGAGTGGGGCCGTGTTCAGCTCCTGCGCGGCGCACCGCTTCGGCCAACGCAGCCGAAGCTAGGCTCTGCTGGCCCTGACGGGGTCTGGCTTTCGTGCTTTCCCCAAAGGCTCGCAAGTACCGATATAGTAGAATGTAGGATTTCTACATTCGGAATATGATTATTATGACTTGGGAAAGTATCCCCACAACACAACCTAGGAGCCTAGGACCCTTTGGGTTCGTGTTCAGGGTGCATTGCGCTCTCACAACTCGGACTCGCCAGTTACCGTTCCTGCTCCGAGCTTTCATCGTGAGTCTTTTCGGATTTCATGATGAAGTTATAACCCTAAACCCCTAAACACCCTAAACCCTCAATTTATAGCATAGTTTGCAAGGTTCGATGCGGGACGGGGGAATTCTGGAACAGGATGCCGGACCCCGGAGTCAGGTTCTAAGTTGCCCCGAACCCTGGGGCCTGAGCCCTGAACACCCAGACCTAGACCGAAACTGCAGATTCTATCATCAACATGACTGACTGAATCGAAATCAGAAACAACACAATCAGCACGCACACACACAGAGGCATAAGCCGATGTGCATGTGCTCACCTGGACGGGTATGCTTGGGCAGGACACCGCTGTGACAGCGTGCAATGCCTTGTCAATCTACGTGCCAAATAGCCTGAAACGAGCACTGTTCGAGATAAGACAATGTGTCTGAGAGCCGGGCAAAACGTCCCGCGGCCAAAGCCAGACGTGCGAGCTGCGGCAAAGGACTCAAAATTTGGCTCTGAACTGACTATCTGACTCAAGAATGGGCATCAACATAGTCATACATTTTAACAAATCAGAAGAAGAAGAAAAAGAAGAATAACCACAATATAATAGTAACCATAATAACCATTTAGACATGGCATTGGTTCGCCAGATCCAAACCCAATACAGCTTTCCCAAATTGCTGAAAACCCGCAGCAAGAAGGAGAGAGAGGGAGAGAGAAATCAATCCCAACACCCCTTTCGAAAAACATAGCAAGTCCCGAGACCGTCGTTCAGTCTTGGCCTTTCCATGCTGTATTTGCCATGCGACCACGACCAGGAACAGCTCAAACTTCGAAACCTGGAAGCTTTCCTGCAAGTCCCGAAAAGCCGGCCTGCCCGGTGGAAATGTGCTGCAGGTGCGCACCTTGACGAGAGCTCGCCGAAGCTTACACATGTTGTACGTCCGTATGCATGTATGCAGGCATGTACGAAATCTATACTTTAGTACTATGTATACAAATGTAGACGCACACGTACACACTTGTCTAATTGCTGTTTATCGATATGTGCTTCCTGCTGCAACTTGTAAATTCTATAGCAGCTTCACGAAGCACTGTACAGTGTCAGGGTTTTGGGGTTTGGGTGGTTTGGGTGTGTCTGGCATTTTTTGGTGCCCCCCCCCTCCCGATTTAATAGAACCAACCCGAATGGCAATGTCGCCTAGAGCATGAACCCCACAAGCGAAATCTGGTCCAACAACCAAGCAAGCATGCCATTGCCTGCATGTGGTCCTGTGACGAAGGTCTGGCCTCTGCAAGGGCACCAAACCCAAGGATGTAGGGGCTGACATCTTACATGGTTGCATCTTGCTGGGAGAGTTGATAATGGTGGCGACTGGTGGTCATGCATGGCATTTTGAAGCTTGAGGCAACCGCGGCTCACCAAAACCAAAACACGGGGCCATCAACACAAGTCAATCCACATCACGGAGGCCGGGGCGAGCACAACCACAGAACTGTACGCAAATGCGCATCACAAGTTTGGAGGATCGTATGCCTAACCACTTGCAAACGTTGTTTGCTGCAGCATGATGAGCTTCTGAGTTTTCCATGGTGCCTTCTTCCACGATCCGGCCTGCAGTCTCCAAGAGATGATCGTCCCAAACATCCAGCAGCATCACGGCGCAAAGAACCTGCAATCCACTCCGGCTTGTCGCCGTTATAGTCAGTCAGAGATGAGAACGATTTCGAATTTACGACGAGAAGCCCATGTTGGGTCCGAGGGACCCGACATGCCAAGCCTCGACCAATGCAGCCGGCTGCATCGGCTGGCCTTGTTGCAGCCTGTGTTTGTGACGGGTCGATGGATTCCGCATATCTGCAGGACAGGCTGCCCGTGCTTTGTCTATGCCCCGATGCTGTCCTTCTGCGGGCATCGGACATCAGCATAGCGGCAAGTGAGCCTTCTTTCCTACATTTGCCCTTATAAACCTTCGAACCTAAATCGAAACCAACCAGAATCTGAGGCCCTGACCGCTGCAGCAGGGAACGAACCTGTAGCTCACAGGCTCGATTTCCAGAATATAAGGGCCTGAACAGTATATTGGTATGAAGGAACTCTGAGGGAAGCCTGTTACCAAATAATTCAGACCCGTCTAGTAGGTTTGAGTACGGCTTCGAGGTTCGACTCTCATACTCGGACCAGCTTTTCAAGGACGAGACGAGTTCCAGCATTGTTAATCACCGTAGGTTACACTGTATTGTATCAAGAATTATATCATAATATATTGTGTTCTTTATATTGTGTATAGATATAAACACACACATAAGTGTGTATATATATATATATTCTATATCTGTGTATTATATGATATGTTATAACTAGGCTGTAAGTTTTAGGTTGTATATTATATGTCATGAAAAGCTCCTGCAAGGATTGGACCTTGAGACTCGGCCTTGAAGGAAGAGCTTGAACAAGGGACGCAACAGTTTGTTGCTCTATCCCGTCTTCAACTGTCAGGGTATACCTTTGGTGCGTTACACACATGCGACATACGGAAAAAAACAAAGATGTATACTAACTGACGGTGCCGTTGAGCTCTGCGCGACACGCGGGCAGGCCACGTAGCCATTTGACTGCAGTTGTACCAGCTTTGGAGATTAGCCCCATCACCCGCAAAGCATGTTGCAGCCGTGGTTTCGTCCAGACTGCTGCGAACAAGGGCAAGAGATGCATGATGAATCGTAGTCGAGCCCAACAACTGACAAGTGTAGGCCGAACTGACTTAAGGTTCCCAGTGGAACATGTGCTCTTCACTCACACCCTTTGAGAAAAAAACTCAAACCGGCTAGCCAAAAATCCTCCAGTCCTGTAATCGCATCGGTAACAGTCCGCATCAACTCTGCTCTAAGGCCCATGGCCGCGTCTTTCCTGCCGGGGACCTTGGCCCAAGTTCATCCGTTGAGGGCAAGGGTCGGCAAGGGATGCCAAGGGTTCGGGCCCGGAAGACAAGGCCGATGCCATGGAACATCCCGCTCTTCGTTGCGAAATAGCCACATTACTGCTGTATAGCTACCCATGGACCTTCAAGTGGGCCAGGAAAGACTTGTCTTTCCGGATGTCCCAAATTCAACAGGGACGCCAACTACTCTCTCTCTCTTTCTTTCGCCAGGGCTATGGACACAGGAGTTTACTCTCTCTCTCTCTCTCTGCTTTGCTTTGCGTTGCTTTGCTTGGGGTCAGAGCTCTCTCTCTCTCTTTTTCTCTCCCTCTCTGTGATACATTCCTACGTACTTATGTACTTCTTCCTCTGCCGCTAAGGTGATCTTGCGATGCTCGAGCGGCGTGTTACCGGCATCTCGGTGGATGCATGACCTTGAACGGACACCCCACTATATACTCACCATGACTTGAAGCGAGGCGAAGTTCTCAGCTCAACAGCCAGAGCTAATGCAGTATGAACGCAAAATGAACACTGTAGAAAGTCACAAAACTGTGCCATCCGGCGTGTCCGCCCCATAAAAGCTTTGTGGGCGTACGTACATACGTAACTAGACACATCTCACGTTTCTCACGTTTCGGGCACAGCATCCGTCAGAGCGCAGCCCTTATGGCACCTAATTAAAGTGAAACCGAAAATGAACCTACCAAAAGCCCCAGTCATTTCGCAGGAACATTCCATAAGAAAGTCGGCCTTGCTGCAACCTGCGGACCTCCGGAAGGGGTGCGATGGCAGAGGCAGACGATTCAGGGAATTGGAGCGTAACGGGGACGCCCTGGCTCCAGAGACGGAGCGAGAGGCGGACCAGATCTCCCTCGAAAGATTCCTGTGAAAGCTGTCGCCAGAAGACAGGGGCCGACGAGATCGCATCGGGGGCACAGGCAAAGCCATTCCAGGCTGTAAGCCGTATGACAAAAGCAACCCCGTCGTATGGGCCCTCGAAAAAGGTAGGATTTTCCTGCCTGGCCAAGGAGGCGAGGCATTCGGTACCGGGGAAGATGATGGAGTTGGGAGTAGATGACTCCACAGAGCGGCACCACTCATCCGGGCCCACAAAGATAAAAACAGGAGCAACCAGCTCAGGGGGCACAGGAGCAAACTCCAAGTCTGCAACCTCCAGAGCTTGCAGCACAATTGCACTGTCACGAAAAGTGCAAGGCTCATCATCAATGTGAGCAGGAGCAGGAACTAACCAATCGACTATGTCAGTCTGGCATATCCACTCCAGAACCTGCTCGATCCGAGCTTGAAGTCTGCCTGCAAAAGGAACCTCACCACGAATTTGTGACAAGAGGGTTTCAGCAGTCAGACGAAGCCGAGGCGTAGGTGCACAGACACTCGCGAAAGCCAAACGAGCTCGTCGCCACAGTTCCTCATCCGTCGGATCTGGCGAATCAAAGTCGAGGAGAGAGAAGCAATCCACTATCTCAGCGATGGGCCTGTCACTTTCATCAAGCCAATCGTCTGAGGCGAGAGGCAGCACCGGTCCTTCGGCTTGGAGGACGGGGGCTTGCACAGCCCCCGGATCCTCTGCGCGTACGCTCCCCTGGCCAGGGCCAACCGCACAGTGGAAACCCGCAACTTGCAATTTGTGTCTACATGAGGTGCTGTACGCAAGATGCTTGCAAAGCTTGAGGTTGGTGGCAAACTGGTGCATACACGCCTGACACTGTCGACCCTCTAAGATACCACGTCCTAGTGTGCAACGACCGTGGGTCTTGAAGGCATGTACGGACCACTGTTGTCGGCCGGGAAAAGTACGCTGGCACGGTCCACAGCAGTAGCGCTGGTCCCATTCGGGCGGTGGCTGGGTTATCAGGATCCCTCCTGCGAGGCGCAGCTGCTTAGCAAGAAGGCCCCGATGATATTGGCCCGCCGCATGCCAGGTCTCACGGCGGACAGCTCTGGCCTGTGCACTGCGTAAGATGCGTTTCCAACGTCCGGGCTGGCTGCGCATGATCCCTGTCCAGTAAGCCCAGAAAGCCCGGTCATCTGACAGAGCATCCTCGAGCGGCAGGTATTCACGGATCCAGGCGACCGCGGTTCTGACAGTCGAGAGCCACGAGCATTCCACGTGTGCCAAAGCCCAGAATTCACGAGAACTGACAATGACGCACGATTGTAAATGTCGCAGCCTGGCTATGTGCAGCAAGGTGTGCATAGAGGGTAGGCCTAGGAGAGAAAGAGCACGGGAGGCTCCCAGGTGGCGGGCCTCTTCAGCACTATACTTGGGCTTCATCATGCCAAAGGCCATCCGATGATAGGCCGACTCCAGGCACTTGTGTTCTGCAGCAGACAGGTCGTTCCAAGTGCCAGCGCCATGGAGGAGGACAGAAAGCACCAGTGACTCAAAGAGAGTCACTTTGTCCCTCCATTGCACAAAAGAGGACGCAAAGATGGTCTTTCGTCTCTTAGTATAAGCCGCCCAGGCTAGGGAAACTCGGTGCCGAACCTCCCGAATCAAGGCTCCAGACTGATGGATGTGCCCACCCAGGTGGCGGTACAGCGGAACTAACTGGATACGTGCTCCTGGCCACAAGGCACTGTTGACATCCAATGTAGCGGGGTCATCCCTGAATGTCTGTGCACGAGCCTGTCTCGAGCCAGGGCCGCGAAGTGACACGACCGCTTCGGTCTTGCCACGGTCCAAGTTAGGAAGCAGCGCCCGACCAAGGCATCCATCCAAAAGCACTCCGGCAGTTTGGCGCAATTTGTCCACCAGAGCAGGTGCTGTTTGGGCCTGGAGGACCAGGGCGGCGTCATCCATCCAAGTGCAGTCAAGAAGAGGGATCTCTTCCGTAGCATGTGCCGACACTGGCCAGAGCTCATTGAGCATGTCAGGATGCCACGGAAGTAGAGTGACTCCAACCGTGTCCTGCACGGCTTGACGAACCTGGCGAAGGACTTGAGCAAATACGTAGCTGAAAATCAAATCCGCCAGATTGTCCCCCGGTCTGGTTCCTATACCGGTTTCGGTGAGCAAAGAGCCACTTTCGAACCTGAACCACGTATGGCACAGTGCTTCGGAGGTGACGGCGGCCAACCAGGGTGAAGCTCCTTCTTCCCGAAACAGCGATACCTCTTGCAGATGGGCTCTCAAGTCATGGGCAACGCCGGGTGGGAGCTGCACGGCTTGAAGGATCTGCTGCACCTCCGCTTCCGAGCCCGTAAAGCCAAGGACCATAGGACGAACGATCCTATAAAAGGCCTCACGGAGGTCCAAGAACAAGACGGCCTGTGACAAACGAGACCTGATGCTCCAAGATTGGTGCATTCTCACAACGTGGGCAGCCAGGGTGACTGGTCTCTGTGGCAATCCCCCTATCTGCAAGGGGGACATGGCACTGGTAAGGGTGGGGACGTTTTTCGAACGGAGCACACTGTGATATGCCTTGCCGACTGTAGAGGAAACTAAAATCCCCCGATAGGCGTTGCAGCGACTGGGGGAGGATTTGCCCTTCCAGATCGCGAATAAAGAGCCTCCCTTGAAGTGAAGGGGTTCTTCAACTCGGAGGGCACACTTGAGAATCAAGGAATATAGAGCTTGCGAGGCAGGTCCCGGAGCCGCATGTAGGGCCTCAGCCGGCACCCCATCAACACCAAAGGCTCGATGGAGCATCGTGTTCCGAAAAGCGTGCTCCAGTTCGAGCCGGGTAGGGAGCTCTTCTGGGTCAAAAGAAATGCTCTCAAGGTCTCTGGCAAGCTGGTCCTGAACACAGGCTTGGGCGATAGCACACGGATGACGCTGTTCCCAAGCCTCGATAGAGGAGAAGTGGTCAACCCAGGCCTGTTCGACCTCTTGCGGGGAGCTAGCACGGCTCCCG